AGAAAATTAAACAGGCGTGTGATCATAGACTAATAGTTGGGGGCGGGGTGGGGGTAATGAAGGAAAAAACCTCTCAAAATATGACCCAGCATATCCCAACCTGCTGGGGGGCAAGGAGAAGAATGAGGCTCCCCTACTGAGCAGAGTTACTCAGGAAGAAAATAAAAATACTTTAATTGCTAGGTAGCATTTGCAGGTGGAGGGAGCTGCCAGGAGCAGCCACAGAAACCTGAGTTCTAGAAGACTTCCATGTTCTTGGCGAAATTTTTATTTGGAACGACAGGGCTGGAAGGCACATCCCTGCCACTCCCCACCCCATAGCTGCCTCACCTCCGTGCATGTGGGACTCCCAATTACCACAGGTTCCTGATGACTGAGCCCAAGGGAATTAAGATGGACTTTGAAGCAGCTTTTACGGTACACTTCATCTACATTTGGGGTTTCTTTAGTTCTCATTAAAAGAGCCACTTTCTTTTGTGTCCTTCATTTCACACTCTTTAAGAAATTTCTCTCATCAGATCAAGTGCAAAAAGGAGTGGAGGGCCCAATAATCATAACCATGTTGACAACAGCAACAACAACAATCATACCCATGCTGACAACAACAGCAAGCAGGGCTGTTGCGTTTAAATCTTCTCTCTTTTCTTTTTTGGGTAAAGCTTTCCTTCTTTATAAGGCATGGCCCTTCCATTAAAAAAGGAAAAAGTCAGAGCGAAAACGCTGGGGTTGAGTGTGGAAATGATAAAAGTGTTTCTAAGGTTAAAATCACAGATGCAGGCCGGCCCTCAGGAGCTGCGCACGTCACAGCGATCCTTTCCCAATCTGATTGCTCCCAGAGACAGCTAATAATCACTTTAGAGGTGCTCCGGTGAGGACCCTCTCTCGGTTCTCGGAAGCAGTAAAGATGTGACAGGTTTTGTTACTGGGGAGAGTGAGACCTTTCTAAGACCATCGCATTCTTTCCCCCCTCAGCCACACCGTCCTTAACTAAAGACCCGGGGCTGAAAGCGCAGCGCCCAGGCTGCACAGTGATGCCCCCAAGCCCTGGTTCAACTTGGTTAATGTTTCAATTCTTTTTACCGTCCCAAGGCGAATTTTTTAAAGTTCACGGATCATTCTTTCTGCTGGAAAACAAAAAACAAAAAACAAAAACACAAAAATGCATCAGGACCCGGTTTGCATGTAGGCACTTTCCATAGTTGTTAGGTTTTTTTCCTTTAAAGATGAAGAAAGATCTTTTCGAGGGGAGGAGGAGGGAAGCCGACTCTGTGAAACCTTGAAAATTCTCCTATTCATATCCGGAGCCGCCCCTCCCTGCGTGCCCTTTGAAAGGGGTCCTGTCACTCAGCCAGAGCCCTTTCTTCAGCCCTCTCCGCGTCCGCGCGCCGCCGGCCGGGCCCGCGCGCTCCTCCAGCCCGCCGCGTCTTGCTCCCCCTCCGCTCCGGCGCCGCGC